AATATTATTGAGCAGTGACATACCTTTACTAATAATGAATAAGTCAAATTATTCTTTAAAAACAAAAACAGAAATTATATGAGAAAATTCTTTAATAAAAAGTAAATAATAATATAAGCAAATGCCCACATTTTAGGAAAAGAATTTGACAGATAAATGATATTAGTCTTTGAGATCCTATCACTATAGAAAACACGATTTTCATACAAAATGTAGAGGAGCATTTTAAACTTTATAATTGTTACAATCCTATGAAAAACAACCCGTTTGCTATAAAAATTTTCTTATTTTTGTATCTGAACGAGTGGTATTATATTCCAAAAAAGTCAAGAAAAAAACCTTTCCGATCGAAATAAAATTTAGTCTTTCTAAGAAAATGCTACAGAGATTTTTGTAGAAATCAATCAGCTGAATCGTTTTGCCTTGATACTTCTATTATTATCCTCACATTCAACAGTAATATATAGATTATAAACTCGTTAACCATTAATTAACGATTAAATGCAACCCGTTACTTTTAATATTAACGGTTAACGGAACCCATTAACGTTAATGGATTTTGTTAACCGTCAATATTAAAATTAACGCAAATCTATTATCCCTAAATGCTAACACTTTTGCATGTCCATCGGATCCAAAAAAAGAATAAAAGATATATCACAACATTTCTTATTTATCTATGCGAAATAAAAATATTTCTGATTCATTACGGGCATAATCAACGAGAAATAGAGAAAAAATACAGCGTTCACTCGTATTATCATAGTCTCACGACACCTAACAGAGAGAATCTTGTCGATATCACCAGAGTTAAATATATTTAGTAGAGATTAATTGAAAGGTTTTCAATAACATTGTTATTTTAAAACGAAAGTCATTCATCACTGTTTTCACTTATAGTAGCGGATCTCCCCGTTTTCACAATAAAGTGTAGAGAAAATATTATTTTCATAAATACTTGAGGTCACTCTATGAAGCACAAGAGTTAATTTCTTCAGATTGTAAAATTTATTTTTCTCGATTTTTTTCGTCGAACGATACAATGGCCTTGATTATCACTCATATTGATTTCTGAGTCATTTGTATGTGGCAGGCTATATATACGTTCTGCATCATTTCTATTGTCAGTGTGTCTTCTCTCTTCCCAATAAGCATCGTCTTCGCATCAGGTTATACAAAATCTTGCCTCATATACACTGTTCTGGACAAATTAAACAACCGAAATTTGTTTTCTGTTTGGTCACTACTATTTTTTGAACGTTTGTTGTTTCTTTAAATAAACCTTTTTCTTTCTCCTACCAACAATACCGACTAAATCATATTTCACATTTTAATCTCCTAGGGAATATTCTAACAATCTTTTTCTTCGTTTTCTTTCAATCCGTCATACAAAAGAAGCAACAAGTCGAAAGATAGTTGTATATCAACCATAATTTATAGGTCAAAGTAGGCATTCACACGTGCAACAAAAAGGAACAGGATATTTATATGATAAAAATATCTTTTGCTTGTTTCTAACAGTACTTTGAACTCTCGTCAGAATTATAAATTATAACTCAAACAAAGTATCTATATAACTGCGGAATAAAATATATTTTTTATCTCAATTATGAGTTTTATAGTTTAGTAGCGAATGCACACTACAGCTTCTTATCCCTGATCCTCACTTGGGATTTGTATACTTTGTATCCTATTTTTTTCAATGTCTTTGTAGCAGTGGTAACAGGACTCTATCTGACTTAAATATGAGATAGAATTCTGTCTTTTGTTTTTGTTATACTAAGATCCTTATTTAGTTTGTTCCAATTATTTTCCTTCTCATATTATACAGTTCAAAGTAGATTTATTTTCGAACTCAACTTAGGCAGCTCATACTTTTAAGTGTCAAGTTAGAGCAATCATCCTATCATTCAACAGACAGTACGATCTCTTCATTTCACTCAGTAACTGTTGAGTGATTCAAATGGCTCTACCAAATATTTTTGTAAACGTCGAGTCTAGATATATTCAATCAAATATTAAATATACTTTTTAGATTTCTTCGCTGTGCACTTAGTGTAAAAAAATGGTCCTGTCACTTCTAGAGATTAGTCAGTTATGTACGATCTACTTTTTATCCTTTCTTCTTATCATGGGCTTAATAGGGAATTCAATCAACATCATCGTTTTCGCAAGTGTGCGTAACTATCGTACGACTCCTTCTACATTCTATTACCTTATTGGTTCAATCCAGGACATTTTGATAATGTTCATTAATCTAGGTATACATATTGCATTTGACGGATTTCGAATTGATTTAGGTGTTACTGCAATGGGTTGGTGTAAAGTCAGAAAATATTTTAGTATTACACTCAGTTTTATTTCTTTGTGTTATTCGTGTTTGGCCACAATTGATCAATTTTTCGCTACATCATCAAATATTCGTTTACGCAACCTGAGTAATATCAAGTGGGCTCATTATATTGTGATCATTGTGATGATCATTTGTGGTTTATATGGTATTCCATATTTTTACTTTGCCAACACCTCAGCAACCACTGGTGTTTGCCTTTTTACAAATAATGTCTTTAGCATATATGTGCCACTATTCAATTTTGTTGTGCTCACTGTTGTAGTTAGCTCTTTGATGATCATCTTTGGATATTTAGCCTATCGAAACGTTCAACGAACAATTATTCTTGCTAGTCAAAGAGCTCAAAAACAATTGACAAGAATGATTTGTTTGCAAGTAATATTAGTTGTTTTCTCTCTCGCTCCCCAGAGCATTTACAATATCTATCTCTGGTGTGCATCTGGAGTGAATGCGAAAGTGAATCCTAATTCAATTCAGTACTGTATCTCCATAGTCACTGGCCTTCTAATTTGGGTTAATTATGCGGTACGTGTCATTCATTGTACAAAGATTGTTCATATTATTTTTGTATTATTTTTAGGGTAGTTTTTACGTATTTCTCATAGCTTCTAGTCGTTTTCGTCGAACAGTAAGAAAGAAAATCTTCGGTTGCTGCTGGACAAATCAGATTGTTCCAGCTTGTCAAGCATGATAGCTCAGTCAACTTTATCAAAACATTCATTTCAGCAAAGACTTCGTTAGTGTCGTCCAATGACCTATATATGACGTTAACTGCTGTATTTTATGTTGTTAACCTCTTTCCCTTTCTATATATTCTTGCATTATCACTGTTGTTGGTTTTTTTCTTGCTGTTGTGATCAGTCTTGTGTATTGTTCGTTCTCTTATCAGCATTGATATTGTTATTATTATATTTTTGGCGACTATTATTTTTTTGTTCTATTTAACTCCAAATAAAACATCTTATCAGTCATAGTCATAAACTTTTTTTAGACATTAAAATAGAAAAATAAAATGAATTGTGAACCGATTTCAATTTTTGAAAATGTTATCGATTAAACTTCTTCAAATATTTAACCCTCATCCGCTCACCTGGGGTTCGCATGGATCTCAAGCTAATGACATAGACACAATACACGTTGTAAGTATGTATACTATGATAGCATTATGTGGTGTATGATTTGTGTGTTACAGACTTAGTAGTTTATAAAAAGAAACAATATTTTGTTATTTTATTTCTAAAACCATTTTCTTAAAATCTATTTTTGGCCTACAAATGTTTCGACACACATAGCGGAAATGATTTTACGATGATCTGGACAACAGAGAACATCACAACTTGTTCAGTGAATGGTAACCTTTCAATCACGCTCTCTAGAACAAAGATGACAACGCTGCTTTACAGTAACTGTTGAAATGGTCTTTATCTTTGAAATTATGTAACATTTCTAAACATTTAAAGCAATACTAATTAGACGAATATTCAATTTTTACTTGTTCAATCGAAAGATCTGAATTTGTATTTATAACTATCAATTATAACAGGCAGAGTATGAATGAGATTGAAGGAGGAAAACACATTGATACTCTATTTAGTTCTGAAGAAATCAAGTATTTTTCGAACAATATTATTCATCATCATAAAGATATTTATATTATTTAGAAGTTATCTATTTCGTGTTTTACATTTACGATTGTTTTTATTATAAGTATCTTTTATCATATCAGAAACCGAAGACTTTGCACATGAGCCGACTATACGTCACAGATATTTCTTTTAAACACAATCATTCTATCATGCTTAAATATAAAAAGCTCTCACACTGAAAAAGAATGAAACGAAATGAAAAATCATTGTGGCAAGTAATTACATTTCTTGTACTAATTACGGTCAAATTTCGATATAATGGACAATATTCTGCTCTAAAAAAAATAAAAACAAGATATAGATTTGCTTCAATCGAGTACTGAAATGAATAAATCCTAATGGTTTAGTATGGTAAGTAATTAATCTTGAACAAATGTCGTCTACACTCAAGAGAGATCTTTCCGAGCTTTTTTACATCGCTAGATGTGTAAAATAGATGTTATATGATAATTTTCGTTCTTTTTTAAAAACGAAACATATTGTTCACTTTTTTGCCTTTCTTGAAAGCATACGAACCTTTTAGTTTCAGTAGACTGCTGAGTAGCGCCTATTCATCATATGAATAATACAGTGCTCATCATCAGAGTAAATCTTCGATACTAATTATATCGACTTTTCACAGTACATAAGACATTATTGGCATATATATTATAGTTTAACTATTACCACACGCATCTCAATTGATGATCATTACTTCAATGTAGTATTGTTATTGGTATACATGAATCATTTACCTTGATTTTCGATATTGATTTTACTTTTGGGTAGCATCGGTGCATTTTGTCTATAAATAATAGCGTGATTGTAGCAAGTCATGCGTGATAGTATGATGAAGGTAATATAAGTATCTTATTTTTTGTTAAATAAAATAGAAAAATAGTTGTGATATACATTGATCAACTTATAAGTTTATGTTTTTCAAGTAAGATTGTACGAGGTAGGAAAATAAAAATTGTAATAATCATAATTCTGATATAGATCAATTTGAAAACCAACGAATAATGCTCAAGAAATTATTTGCTTGGCTTATTCTTCTTATACAATATTTCATTTCTAAGATTCGATTACCGACCGGTCCAAAAAATCGTGTCTTTAACCATATTCGCAACCATATCGATAATAATCAACGAGTTTTAAATGTTGGTTGTGGAGATGGAATTCTCTCTGAACTTATTCGATTGAATTATAGTGATATGTATGTTTATGATGCTGATGTTGTTGATTTGAGACACAATAAAAAAAGTTCGAATTTTCATTTATTTGATGGTTATCATTTATCACAATATGATACTGGTTACTTTGATGTTGTTCTAGTGATCTATGTTTTACATCATGTCAAACATCGAAATATTTTACTCGATGAAATAATGCGTGTAGGAAAAACAATTCTTATTGTTGAAGATATTTTACATGAACCAAAAGCAACTATCCTTGATCATTTCTTTACGTTTACTCATCGTCTATGGGCAAGATTTGTTTGTAAAGATAAAGAAGCATACGTTGAATTTTGGACAAAATCAAAATGGTCTAATACTCTGTATAATTATCGAGCAAATATTACATACACGAATATACCAGAAAAAAAATGGTATCATTATGTTGATCATGGAATGTTTGTGTGTTCCAATTAGATTTTATTTACTACTATACAATTTATTAATTCAGAACTTTAATCATTTAGTACATAATTTATTAGGATCAAAAATAAAAGATCTTATTAGGAGGATGTGAGAGCGACGGTGTGACTAATGATGCAAAAAATGAAAGAAAACTCATCAGTAATACTATCAAGTGAATAAGTTGAAAAGAGATATTCTGGTTAGTATAAAACATCGAAATAAATCATCTTTCTCATAAAAAAACTTTTTAATTATTAAACTAAAAAAAATTTGCTTATGAAAATGATTAAACTCTTGGTTGAATCTTTGCTTGAATTCCATATTTAGCTTTTAAAGTAATTCGATGATGTGGAACTACTTTGTGATCAGGTTTTATTTCGATATTCAATTTTTGAATCATAATAATGAGAACAATTTTGGCTTCTAAAAGACCAAAATTTTGTCCAATACAATTTCTAACACCAGCTAAAAATGGAAGATAACAAAATCGATGCGCAAGTTTTGGTTTCAATCCATTCGAATTTCTTATCCATCGTTGATAATCAAATTTTAATGGATCTTTCCAATATTTGTCTGAACGATGTAAATTATAAAAATTAAATACAACACCTGCACCAACAGGAATTCGTATTTCTTCTTCACCAATTGTATGTTCACGTATACATTCGCGCATAATAATTGATACAGGTGGATATAATCGTAATGTTTCATGTAGAACAGCATCAATTATGATTAAATTTTGTAAATCACTATAATCAGGTATTTGTCCATTTAAAACTCGATCAACTTCTTCTCGACAATCATTAAATACTTCAGGATTAGTTAAAAGAATATATAAACACCAACTTAATAATCCACCGGTTGTTTCATGACCAGCAAGAACAAATGTAATAGCTTCATTTTCTATTTCTTCATCTGAAAACTTCTTTCCTTCTTTATCTTCAGCTGTTAATAATAAATCTAATAAATCATTTTGATCAGAATGATTTTCATTCATATGACATCTTCGTTGTTCAATCATTTGTCTTGCAAGTGAACGAAATCTATGACCTAGTTTATCAATAACTGGTTTTTTTAATATCGGTAATTTATTTAATATTGGAATTTGAAATATTGGAAAATGATTTGTTCGATAATAAAGTGCATCAAAAGCATCTTTTAGTAATTGACAAAGTTCATTTGTTAATTCATGTGTCACCGTCATTCCAAATGATGATGAACATATTATAGTTAACGATAATTTATGTATCTCAGTTTGAATATCAAAATATGTATTGGAATATTTATTTATCCATGATTCAATTACTTTTACTGTTTCTTGACACATTAATGAAGTTAATGATTGTAAATTAATATAATGAAATGCTGGATTTAACATTTCTCGAATGCGTGTATGAACGTCTCCTTCAGCTAATATTAAATTAACTGGTCCTAAAACTGAACCGATTTGAGTTCGAAATAATTTCGGTTTTTTATAAAATGCATATTTTTTAATTAATACTTCACTAATAAGATCAGCATCAAGAATAACAAGATTAACAATGGGTCCTATTGGTAAAATAAATCGACTTCCATGTTTCTTTTCTAAATCCATATAAAACTCCATATGTTTATCCGATTCATAATATCTTCTATGTTCTTTTAATTGACCAAATATAGGTATAAATGGGTCACCTGGAATACCTTGTAATCGAACAGCATTATAAATTTGACGAGGTTTTTCAATTAATTTATAATAAATAATAAGTAATATAAGAATTATAACACAGATGAATTCGAAAAACATATCTAAAACATATATATATTCAATCTTCAATATCAACACAAATTCTAATTATATATATATATTCAAATTATATTTTTAAAAACTTAAAGGTAATAGTTGCAAACTCGGCAAAAAGACGATAGAATTTTAACAAGCGATTCTCTCATGTTCAAAGGTTTTGACAGTCGGATCTTCTAGGACTTCATCAGATATATTCTTGAGAATCATCTCAACAATACATTCTATTGTAAACCATTAATTAAATTTGATAACGAACGATACTTATAAACAAACTGAAGAAAATAGCTCTCTCTCTCTTCTAATAACCTTCATCAGTACTTCTGATTTGTCCTGCGTAAATAATTGCACTTTGTGTCTTATATTTTGATCGTCGTATATGTTTTATTGTAAATAAGAAAATAAATTACTTTCTAGATTCATCTGTCAATGTTTCATATTAGATTTTGTCATATCTCTAATTGTTTTAATAAAAATATCTTTCGAAACGAATGAAAAATACATTCATTTATTATTCTCTTTCTCGTAGAGAAGAGTCCAGTAAGAATACATTGTTTACTTGCTTGTCTGTCCGCAGGATCAAAAGAACATCGAAAATCGATTTTTCGAAAAAGACATTTCTAGAGGTATTTCGATGCAGGGGCTTCGAATCTGATGTTAGTTTTTTTAAAATTCTTTAAAAAAAAGATTTTTTTTAGACAAAGGATCATTTTATACAAAAAAACGTTTTTTGAGATGGGGGAACACGAATCTGATGTTGGTGTTTGCAAGTTATATAAGCATAAGGTCCCGCAGCAATGTAGAACACTATTTCTACGAGAAAGAGCCAAGCGAGTCCTTAGACGAGCGTTACTTGTGAATAACTTGTCAAATGCTTCAACAGAATTCATACCTTCATCTTAAAATAACGATTTGTATGATAAAACGTAATAATTCTATGCATAATCGAGACGTTTTTCAAATCTTCGCGTTTAAATGATGAATATATACATACAACTGTGTATAAAATCAGGACTAAAGGTGCAAATGATTATCGATTTGTTTTCATTTGCATTGTCCTTTCGTTTCACCTTGTATTTTTACTCTATGAGTGGTATATAGTCGATGAAGGTAATACGTTATTACTTGATTCGGTTGAATTCACACGATGATAAAATTTAACTATGTAACATTACGACTGAGTGAAAGAATATCAAACGAATACAGTTTTGATCAAATTCATATATATGATAATATATGATATTTTCTGTCGTCAATATTATCATCGATTATATGTAAGTAAAACTATGAATGAATTGATCATCTTCAACAAGTTAATTCCTAACATTTTCTATTGTATTTCATTTTGAAGTAAGGAATGTTATTCTAGTTGATAATACTAAATTCATCTGTCCTTATTTTCTCAGACATAGTTAACTGAATATAAATACAGTGAGATAAAATTCTTCTAACAACATCTATCATTGTTTGATTAATAGACCAATACTTTTTAATTATTTTTCATTTTATGATAAAATGACTTTGAAAACATACAAAATCTAATTCTGATATTATATTCTGTAATATTTTATTTGATAATTTACCTAAGATACAGTATGATGATACTTTCAGTTAAAGATAGGAGTATTTTTGTTTATAAAAATGCAACGACTGTTCATATTATGTCTAGATTTCTTTGATAAAATTTCCATCATACCCACAAATCTTCTAGAAATAAAAGAACTGATACGTATGACAATCGATGTTAATATAAAACGAAAAAGTTTGATTCTCTTTCTGTTTGAATGATTATTGATTCGAATATTTTAATACAAGAAATTTTACTATAAATTCTACTTTTACCACAAATTGTTTTTTAGATATTTCTCAAGCACAATGCAGAACATATGATTCAATCGAATTATAGAGATAGTTGGTAATTAAATCAGCCTGATAAGTCTCATATTATCATATATATACAATGAAGTCCTGTTCAAATATTATCCTTATAAATTTATCACTAAGATAGGATCATGAACATTTGTATTATTTTAATTGGACAACGAAATTCAATATTGAAATTGAAAAAGAATATTTTTTCGAACATTAACAAAGATTAACAAAGCTATAACCACAAGACAATATTCACAGTCGTATTTATCTGTCAATTTAATAGTTTTAGTTTGTTTTCAGATCAAACTGTTGAATTTCTTAAAATACAATAATAAAACAATGGTTGAAAATGATCATAAAAGTGCGATAAGCACATTTTTTAGTGCAAAATCGATATTTATTACAGGTGGAACTGGATTTATTGGCAAACAAATCATTGAAAAATTATTAAGATCATGTTCAGGTTAATCAAAAGTCTATTTTTGATTTCTTAATAAGGATTAATTTTCAGCTCTAGATCGTATATATGTCTTAGTACGACCCAAACATGGTATTCATGTTCATCAACGAATTGAACAGTTATGTTCACTTCCTGCAAGTCAATTATACAAAAGTTTTTTTAAATGAACTAATTCTTGAATTTTAGCTATTTGATGAAGTACGTTTATTAATACCTAATTTTAAAACAAAAATCATTCCTGTTCTTGGTGATATAACAAAAAACGAATTCGATTTATCTAATGAAGATCAACAATTATTAATTGAAAATTGTCAAATTGTAATTAATTCTGGTGCATCAGTTCGCTTTACTGAACCATTAAAGTAAATCATTTTGAATACTAGTCTTTATTGATGAATTGACACTGATGCATATCTTCTATCGATTGAATAAAACAAAATATTTTTATTTTAGACAAGCAATTAAATCCAATCTGTATTCTGTTCGTAATATGATTAATTTATGTAAAAAAATGCAACAATTACAGGTTAATAGTTTGTGTGTAAATACTCTTGTGAATAGATAGTATTTGCAAATGTTGAATTGTTCGAAATCAGATGAATTACATAATCATTTCTTTCTTTAGTCATTTGTTCATATTTCAACTGCTTATATACACCCTTATCGTTTGGATATCGATGAAGTTTTATATCCAATGAATGAAGATCCAAATCTCTTATTGGAATCAATAGAAGGGTTTAGTGAGAAAATGTTTGATTATTTATCAAAAAAGTTATTAATAAACTATCCAAATACGTACACATACACAAAATCATTAGCAGAATATCTTATCTTACAGCAAGCAAATCAATTACCTATTGGTGAAGAACTTTCTCAACTAAATTTAAACATTTTCTTTTCTTCATTTTTCTTTAAATTAGCTATAATTCGACCATCGATCGTTGGTGCAACATGGAACGAACCAATACCAGAAAGTTTTACGAATTGATCAAATTATTAAACATATATTTTTTGTTTATTAGGGATGGGTTGATAATTATAGTGGTGCTACAAATATCATCGTTGTCGTAAGATTATTTAATACCCTTACTCTCACGCTGGGTTACATCAAAAATTTCGAAATTGAGATAATTGTATTGAAACATAGCCCGTCTTCAAATCGTTCAGAAACTATATGATTTTTTATTCAACAACTCTCATGCGATTTGGATGTACCGGATTCGAGATCGATTTTTGAAAGGACCTTAGATAAATTTATAGATAAGAATATGGCATGTCGAAGTAAGAATATAAGAAGTTTTCGGATAGTGCAAGTTATAATCTTAATCTCTGTGTGTAGAATATAGACGAAGATAAAAACAGATTTTGATTTCCTGTAACCAAGATTAAAATATTAACTTTCCAGTAATATATATATGTCAAATTGGTTTTTGTTTTAAATAGATTGGAAAAGGTTTGATGCGAGTATCTAAATCAAGACCTATTGTCGATCATCCAATGATACCAGTTGATACTGTTGCTAATATGACTTTGGCTATTGCATGGTTTACTGCTATCAATCATAATTCGTATAGTTTGGAAATAAATCGTATACTACATCTTTTTCTTATTCTTTTTCTTAGTTCATCAAAACCTACTGTTTATAATTGTTGCACAAGTACATTCAACAAAACATGTTTATCTCTCCAAGATTTCTGTATGTTCACTTTGATGAATTTTATTCGAAATACAAATCATATGTTTAGTGAATACAATAGTAAAAGAAGAAAAGACAATTGGATTTGATAACTATAGTCTTATTGGTCCATCTGTTGTGGCGACGATGAACAGGTTTCTCTTCTTTTCTTTTCTGAGAATTTATTTTGTCTTTAGAAAAATTCCAGTGTATCTATCATAGGACCTTGAGGGCGAGTGTGAGTTTGTTTTAACATTAATCACATCTTCAAGGGTGGAATTACGAACATGTCGTTTTGAAGATTCCTAAGTATTTCTCCAATCGTTCAAGAATTAAAATAAGATCCTACAAATTTCTGATTTCAAATGTATATTTTTTCTCGAGTTGAGTCTTTCTTGGCAAACACACGATATTCTTGATCCTGAATGTCATGTACTATGGACATAGCTTCTGTCAAGATCTGAAATCTTTTAAAAAACTCAAGTACTTCAGTTTCTTGTTTCATCATTTGATGTTCTTACTGATAGAAATCTTCACTTTTCATATATGATAATTTACTAGCACGATTGTTTCAATGAAAGTTTCCCTAAACAAACTATCGTCCTACTCATATAATAGATGTTTAACTAAGAAGTTATTTGAAATGAATGTTGGTTTGTTTAGACCACATTATTATTTTCGACGTTTCTTTGGTGAAGTTCTGCCAGCATATTTAATAGATCTCATTGCTTGTTTAACATTTCGAAAGGCAAAGTCAGTACTAGATTTTGGTCAATCGTGTTATAAATCAATATTTTAGAATGGTAAAATTAGGTAGAAAAGTGATCACTTTAAAAAGTGCATTGGAATATTTCTCTCGGAATCAATGGATATTTGTTAATCGAAATAGTCAATTCTTACAAAACCAAATGAATGATATCGATAGACAAGTAACTGATGATAATAATATTAATCTATTTAAATATTTTAGTTTTTAGGAATTTAATTTTGATTTAAGTGAATTAAACTGGTCTTCTTATATTCGGAATTATTGTATTGGAGTTAAAAAATATTTGCTCAAAGAAAACCTAGTACAATCAACCGCTAGAACATCAAAACAATCTTTATTCTTCAAAGCAAAGTATAGAATATAGATAATTCTTGATAATATTAAAATAGTTTCTTTTTTGCAAGAATTTATCGTTTGATCTTAGTTTTCTTCTTTTTTCTAATCACATGGATTATTCGAAAAACCATTCGAAGATTCCGGTAATTATTTCATTTGATTTATTTTATGATGACCGAAATATTCAATTTAGAATAACATGGAAACTTCTACATCTCCGTATTCAAAAGTAATTCAAGAAAGATAATAACGAATATCTTCGTTCTTCTTCATGAAATTCCATGTTCAATTATCAAATAGAATTTACAATTTTACAAATTTATTTGTTTTTTCCTTAGTACTTTAGTTTTATAGATTTTATCTTTATAAAAACAGAAAAACGTTCGTTCAAGAAAACGATATTGATTATACAAATCTATGAAACATACATATTTTTGCAATTTGGTTATTCGAAAGATACTTTTTCATTATTTAGATCAGAGAAACGATTCAAAAAGATGAAAAAACTGAAATAATCGGTATCTGTCGGAAAGATATCTATAGTTCTTACCAAAGAAAAAACAAAAAAAAATATTGCCTTATACAAGAAAAAAGTGAATCTTGGATCTTCATAGGTTATAGGTCTCGTAGTGATCATACCTTTTTACTTTTCATACGATTTGTACCTTAGAGACATCGAAAAATTAGTTGACAGCATCTAGTTAGAGTCGAACATTGATAGGGAGCTGATAGAACCTCAAAAAATATATAATACGATAAGAATCTGAAAAACGATGACCAAATCTTACGCCTCATGTATCACATATACGATAGAAAATTATTTATTGATGAAATAAGACTATGAATGCATGTGCACATCACATTTGATAAAAATTGATGATAATCAAAAAATGTTACTAATTAAAAATAAAAGTATCAAGGTTGTTTTTTGGAATGATTAGTTAAGAGTTTTTCATAAATCGATAGAAGATCTTTAGTCGATGTTTCCCATGAATATCGACAAGCATATGTTCGACATGATTCTCTTAAGTGTACATCACTTTCTTGGATATATTTCAACGCATCTAAAAATTGTTTGTCATTATTAACATCATATTCTAATTGTGGAAAATATGGTTTATATAATTTTTGAAAAACATCACACTTTGGATAGATAACAGGAGTTCCACATGACATAGATTCTAGTAAAGTAAATCCATATGATTCATTTAAACTTGTACATAGAAAAGCTTGTGCACTTTGATAATATTTATATAAATCTTGGTAATCGATTCTACCAATAAATTGAATATTTTTCACTTGTTTTTCTTTGGCATAAACTTTTAAAGCATTATCAGTTGGACCAAAACCAATAATATCTAAAGTAAATTTATCTTCAACTAATTTAAACAAATCGATTAATCGAAATAAATTTTTTTCCGGTGCTATTCGACCAATATAAACAAGTTTGTTTTTGATAAAATTTGGCGAATATTTAAATAAATCAGTATCAATTCCCGTCGATAAAATATGTCCTTGATCAAAATTGTTACAACAAACTTTCAAATCGGTAAAATTTTCCGGATGTAATATGGGAATTTTCAGCCAAATTGGTGGATAGTATTGACAATATATTCCCCACCATTCAGTTAATTTAAAAAGAACACGATTTGGACAATATTCTTTGAAGAATGCAAGACTATTTGTATGAAAAGATGCACAAACAGTTATACCCATTAATTTACAAAGTAAAAAAAGAAGTATTGTACAAAGCAAGATATTTGGACCAACAATATGAACTATATCATATTTTTGAAAAATAATATCTTTATATAATTGAAATGATGGTAAACATAAACGCATGTCTTTATTAATAAAATAAAATGGAATACTATATAATTTTTTATCAGCTGTTGGACAATCGGTTGGACCATAAACAGTTACATGATGACCAAATTTTCGTAAATATTTTACATAATATTCTATACGAACAGTTATTCCACTAGTTTGAGGATGAAGATATTCCGATAGAATTAAAACCTTCATTTTTAATCAAACAAATCTAAAAGAATTATTTTTTTAATTATTAAAGTCAAGGTTTTAGTATCAGATCTAGTTCTATACATCCTTAATACAGACTCATTCTATAATGAGTAGAAGAATAGAAAAGTGAGTGAACATAAAACAAGTTAAAAAAAGAATCGAAATTAATAAAATAATTCCATCACAATTCAAGAAGAAAAAAAGAAGAAGATTAATCGATATGTACATGTTTGTATGTTTGGTTCAGATGTTATCATTACTTCGATTATAAAATAAAAACTTATTGTCTCTTTTCAATGATATGTTTTTTTGTTGATACTATATTATATAAACAATAGAATATAGATTTATTAGCCATCTTATTATTTTCATGAATGTGAAGGACATAACAACAACGTTCTATATGCACTTGTCTTTTTCGTTAGCGTCAGGGAGTCAACAGAAAAAAAGTAAATATAGTCTCAAGAACGTTGCCTTGTGATACGTACGTGTACATATTTCATATTAATTTTCTAACTTACACGTGATTGATACTGATTATGCTCTAAACGTCCGCACGGATGACTGCATCCGATCACTATGTGTTAGGTAAGGGTATTACTGCTGTTTGAAAATAACATATAGATGAGGAGCAGTATAAGAACGATTACAAGTAAAAACAAAAAATCATTTGTTAATCTTAATTCTAGCTTCATCCCCATCCTTCTCCTCTTTTTTTTCGAACTATTAGTAAATGAATGTCATTAATATAATGGTTTGTAATAAAGTTAAATCTATGTATATCTTTTATACAGACGAAAGAATACAATGCATGAGTCATTATATATATGTGGTATTTTAACTGTATTATCAATATATCTTGAACTTTAGTTTAATCTTCTTATGATTCGATTATCCTATCATTATTTTCTCTTATAATCCGTTAGTTATATTTTTGTCTTTATTAAAATTATTTTTTTCGTATGAAGTTATGTCATAAATGAATTTTGACTTTTTCTATCGTATTGTATCTGACTTTACTGAAATAAGACAAATTGTGTGAGAAGATCGAATTACAAGTAACATTCTTATCCTGTCGAGTTTAAAATATTTCAACTGTCACATATTTCCTGTGTATGTAATGAGTATATAGCTGTAAAACTTTACAAGACACTTTCTCGTCATAACAGGAGGAAAATTATTCAGTTTTATAAAAAAAAAAGAATTCGTAAATCCTAAATAGATTTCTAAAAAAAATTAACAACACGTGAAATCACGACACGTTTATGTATGATTCTTTACAAATGTACGTATTCTGACGTGTATATATTATACATCAAGGATTGAAATTTACTTTGAGAAATTGTAAGACACCTTATTACATAACCAAACGAACTTGATCCAGTTATCATAAGAAAAAATTTTGTTAAGTATTTATCTTAATCTTAGTATTTTGATCCGTCGATCCTTAATCAAATTCCAATTCACATCCTCCAATCATAAAAAAGTTTTTATGAGTCTGTATTTATTTATTTTTTCGAGGAAGTACCTGTAGTTTATCAAAATAAAAGTGTAACAGATAATGAAAATATTACTTGATTTTGCGTCTAGTTATAAACGAATTTCGACTAAGTTTAATTTTGTCTAAAACTCAATTTTGCTTGAGACATATATTAAAACGAATCAAATTTTTCTAATTCGAGTTGAACCGAGCCTAACTATTAAAGTTTGATTTGAATCAATAAAAAGTAATGAAACGAAGCTGTGGTTTCTTATTTTAACTATCCTTTAGTTAATAACTCGTTTCATCATTTTCTCGATGTAGATTATCGCTTCTCACAAGTTAGAATTGCTGTAGACTAATATCGAATCTAAGCCATCGGAGTCAGATTTATTTCAACTAAATTTTCAAAATAACTCTTCAGAAATGATAATAATTTTACTTAAGATCGACTACTCTGAGTTTCGATTCTTTTCTCGAAAGAAATATTTCAAGATTTCTTTTTACTTTTCGGCTTAAAAAATTCCTCAGTATATAGTTGTTACTCATTCGATGATTCAATGAATGTCAGTATTATTATTTATCTCTTTCAGTTTTTGCTTTAATTATTGTATTTCAGTAGAATCCATGTAAAAACTAATTACAATATCCATTTGTTGTATTGATTCAATTCTATTTTTTCTCGCTGTTATACCAATGAAATTGAGATCTTTTCTCTTAGATTCGAATGTACATATATCTGTTTGAATATATGATAATTTTTAGATGAAAATTTTAATAGCTGGCGGTGATGGTTATTGTGGTTGGGCATCAGCTCTTTATTTATCTGCTCGAGATCATGATGTGACGATAATTGACAATTTTATCCGTCGAAAGTGGGATAATGAACATGATTTAAACTCACTTGTACCCATTTTTACACTTGATGAACGTGTTAAAGAATGGAATCGTTTAACTGGAAAAACAATTCATATTATTAATATTGATGTTACTAACTATTCAGCATTATGTGAAATAATTAATTGTGAAACTAAATTCGATGCATTAGTTCATTTTGCTCAACAACGTTCAGCACCATTTTCCATGATTAATTGTGATCATGCTATTCGTACTCATATAAATAATACTGTTGGAAATATGAATATTTTATGGGCATTACATGAATATTCACCAAACACTCATCTAGTTAAATTAGGTACAATGGGTGAATATGGTACACCTAATATTGATATTGAAGAAGGTTTTATTACTATTGAACATAATGGACGTTCAGATCGATTACCATATCCAAAACAACCAGGATCTTTTTATCATTTAACAAAAGTTAGCGATAGTGATCAAATCATATTTGCATGCCGAACATGGAATTTACGAGCAACAGATTTAAATCAAGGTATTGTCTACGGTTATAATACTGATGAAATTGATTTATCTCCAGTATTGGCTAATCGTTTTGATTATGATCATATATTTGGTACTGTTCTTAATCGTTTTTGTATTCAAGTTGCACTAGGTTATCCATTAACCGTACACGGCGAGGGGGGTCAAACAAGATCATTCATTGATATTCGTGATACAGTCAAATGTATTGAAATTGCATGTCAAACACCAGCTAAACCTGGCGAATATCGTGTATTTAATCAATTTACAGAAATGTTTTCTGTTTTGGAATTAGCGAAATTAGTCAAACAAGTATCAGAAAATATAATGAATATTCCATGTGAAATTTCACATTTAAAGAATCCACGTACAGAAAAAGAAGTTCATTATTATAATTGTATCAATACAAATCTCCGTTCGTTAGGTTTACAACCAACATTATTATCAAATGAAACTATCGTATCACTGATTCAATTAGCAAAAAAATATACAAATCAAGTCAATTTAAAATTAATTCCGCCACAAATACAATGGAAATCAGAAAATGAACAAATATCAGCAGCGAAACAGAATCATGAATAACATATATAAAGAATTTTGTTTTTATTATCTTTATTGATCTTATTAGTATAAACATGTTTTTTTTCGAGTTTTCATTTACTATTATATATTTATATTCTATTTTATGTAGTCAAAAATATAGTTTTTAATTACTAATAATAATTAATGAATCCAAAATAGTTTCTCCCAAGTATAATAAACACCTACCAACTTTATGATGAACATTTAAAAACTATAATGCAAAAACAAGAAAATTGATCTATGAATTAGTTCATATGAAAGTATTTACTGAAGAGACGTTATACATCATATCGTTCGTTTATAACATCGTTATTGTGTGATGATGTTTATCTGCATAAATTCCCTATTCTATATAGTATATATGTGTTCTCTTCGCTTTCACTTTTTTTTTGTTATTAATATGCTTTCTTTTCTCTCTCATTTTCTGCGTGACGAAGTAGTGATGTAAACATCATATACCGAGCATAGTCGTAGCGCTACTCTTGCACTTTATCAGTGTAATAACAATAAATTGAAAACTACAACAGTAACTTAATAGTTTATCGTCAACAAAAATTTTGTTACAATAACTATATATTTTTTCAATCGTAATCTAGATGTTCAAGCTAAAACTACAATGCATAATCATTTTATTATGGGTTGATATCTATGCGCTCTTTTCTCTTCTTCTTCTCTTTTCGTATATGTTATACTTGGTAATATCGCAAAATCTAGAAAAATTTACTGATGTAGATGAAGCAAAATCAGACCGACTTTTTGCTATTCAGGTCTCACTATGACTTTAATCAATCGTGGCATTACTATTAAACTGAATTGGCTGATCGTAGTGTGTGGTCTCTTGGTCATCTTCTTAACAAGTACTCGAGTAACGCTATATAAAAGAGCATCGTATGTCTGATTAATAGACCGATGGCGGATTGGTGTGAGTGTGAGGGTCCTTTCTTGATCTAAAGAGAATATCCAAACCGACACACACCCTTTATCTCCTCTCGCTTGATACTTTTCCTGCCTTTTATTTTTTTGTTGAACAAGAATAAATCTGTTTATCGAAAGTTTTCGACTTTCTCTAGTATTTTGTAAGATTTTCCCTTTCTAGATTTTTATTTTTCTAAATTTTTTGCTTCTAGATCTGGCGACATATTCGATACTCACACATCGTAAAAAAATAATGGAGCTGAATACAGCGAACATTTGAGTTAATAATAATGAGAAAATGTTCCCTGCTCTACCAAATGTCATTCAAAGAGGGGTGGATGCTTAAACATGGATTAAATAACTAGAACTAAATGATGTTTCTTAAAAAGTACTGTAAAACAAAAGAAATTATTCACACTTAGATTATTTCTCTTTCTTCGCCTTCTTTTAATAATAAAAAAAATTTTTTGAATTTTGCCTACAACATATATATGTATATGAAGGATAGAAATAAAAAAAAGTGATAACAAAGATTTCAAGGAAATTTCTATATTCTCTTCTTACTTCCTACTCTATGGCTATATGATATGTGAAATTGTCGAAAAGTTTTTGAGATTTTTTCGTTAAGTGGCCGTACTTTTCGTATTATTACTATTGGTTTCTGCTAGTGGGGAACTGGAAATTTTGGAATTTCTTAAAATTTACTCTGAGTGAAAATTTAAACATACTTCGCCTAAACGGTTATCGATTCATCAATTCACCGATTCGAACACACATCGTGTCAAGGTTTCATCGGTCAAAATAGTTATCGATTCTTCGGTTCACTGATTCAAACAATTATCGTTTCACGGTTTCGCCAATTCATCAGTTCAAACGGTTACTGGTACGATACAGTTATCGATGAACCAGTGTTCATCACTTTTGCATCCCTAGAAAATGTGATAGAAATCTTTGTAAATTGACTAGTTTTTATTCTAATAAAGGTTTCACCCGTAAATACGTATACGAAATAAAGAATTGATAAAGTAAAATTACTATTTAGTTAAGATATTTCATATATGTTAATAATTAAATGTATGTAAGACTATAATATAACTTATTTCTAGCCACTTCCGTATAATTTTGTGTGAGTCGAGTATGTGATACGCTAGATAATTGCTTTAGAATAAGACAAATCTATAACATTTATTTAGTTATTTTTATTTTTTAGCAATAGTATCGTCATATCAATGATCAGATTCATTAATATTCTAACTGGACTATGTTATCTGTTGTGCTATGTATTTGTATTATCATGTATTGTGTACACTCTTTTGCAATTCTACCGTACCATACTCATATCTAAACTTACAATAGTATCAAACAATACAGTCGCAAAGAATAAGACAACATATTACTATAATCACTCATCATCTTATAATAAAACTAATTTGGAACCAAACGTCTCTTTGTATTATCATCATGCAACTTCAGGTCGAAATTCGTCTTATCCTTTTATTAGTGGTGACACATTTCGAGATTTTTCTGATTATATATATGATGAAACAAGAAAAGATAATTTAAGATCAGTGAAATATGGTGAAATTATTTTTGTGAAAACCGATATGCTTCCAAGATTTTTTGCTTCACGATTTATATCTATACGAGAACCATTTGTACTTATTACACATAATAGTGATGGTTCTGCACCAGGAAGATATATCAGATATTTATCAAATCCAAAAATACTTCACTGGTATGCATCCAATCTTAATCAAAAAAATCTTCAAAAAATATTTCCTATTCCAATTGGATTAGCTAATACACGATGGGGACATGGGGACTTAGATAAAATATCATTTGCTCTTAAAAACCATCGAAAACCTTGGTCTCAACGAACAACTTTTCTTTATGTTAATTTTGCGATTGATACAAACATCGATCAACGAACAAAAGCTATATCACAAGCATCAACAATAAAAAATGTACAAATAGTTAAAGAGAGAATTTCACCAGAAACTTATTTAGAGCAGATAGGTAACGCTAAATTTGTTTTATCACCACCTGGCACTGGAATTGATTGTCATCGAACATGGGAAGCTTTATTGATGGGTGCAGTACCTATTGTTCTGACATCTGGACTTGATCCTTTATTTACAAAAACAAGATCTATTATTATTGATGATTGGTCAAAATTATCGTACAATTTTTTATCATCATTCAATTCTTCGTTAGATGATGACTATGTACCTGATATTTTATATGCTGATTATTGGCATCAGACATTTTTTAAGCATCGAAAGAAAGTTACTTAATATATATCATTTTTTCTATTGAATGATCCCGAGAAAAAAAATTATTATTTTTTTTAATCACACATGATATTGTTTATTAATAGATCCTGAAAAAAGAAAGTAATACATATATGTCTAATTATGTTGAAAATATGTGATACGTGTTATTTTGTGCTTCATCAAATTGTTCTGTTCTAATAGTTCTTATGCAAACATTCAGTTCAATAATGTAATTTTATTTAGAATCTGAAACTGTAGCTGTAGTACAGTAAATGCGTTCTTTTTATTGTTATTTTGTGATAGTATTGTGATCTTTTTTTCTTTTATTTTACATAAAATAGAAATAAAACAAATAATGCTCGTCGAGAAAACTCGCTTGATCTTCGACGGATTTTAATCTAATTACTATTAGATACCACTTATTACATCGTACTTTCTATTGTACCATAATCTATATATTTACAAAGAAAAAACAGTTTTTTACATTTAAATCCGTCTTTTTCACGGAAGATTCGATTTTTACGGTCGCCATTAAAGTTTTCGATAGTGTTAAACTCATGTGACAGTAATTGGTTAGCATCTACACGATCCGCCATTATCAACTGCTTCCCATTATATATAAGTTCTATGAATCAACGTGACACTTGTTGTTTTTATTTATCGATTTCTTTAAATACATCTTTTGTTTTTTAACGGTGTGGGTGCAGGTTGGGTGAGACAAATAGAGTGCATCCACCTCCACCCTCAGGCTCTTCAAAATTCCAACTGAACTTAAACTGAGATAAGTTTAATAAATACTAAGCCGAATCGGATCGAAAAAAAGAATTCCAAGGAAGTTTATCGAAAACAATGGAAATTATTTAAATTTTTCCTCAGGTTGTTCAGTTTCTTTCGAACGATTTTCGTCTAAATGTGTTTTCCTTATGAAGAAAGACATTCTGTATTATATAAGTTAATACCCACAAGAAGTTTTCTAGTTTTATGATTTATTTTAAAATGATAAACGTATAAGTACAAAAACTAGATCGTCTAAAACCGCCGTTATATCAGTATCATTTCCAATAGAAATACAGAGTATTCACAGTCAATCTATAACTTTGAATATTAATTACCTTCCTAAAAGATACAAATTGTAAATAAATAAGAAATGTTGTTCAAGTATAAAAGTATTCGAATCTTTTTGTATTTTCGATGACTAATTGTTTAATCATTATATGATAATATGTTTTTTTGCGTATTTATCTTCAATATAAATACAATCTAATATATTTGTTTTTTATTATTTTTTAAATGAGAAGAACTATTTAAAAATAGAAAATTGACTTTGAGACTAAATCAGCATTTATGACAGTAAGATAAATTGTTATGAGAACGATGCAATACTTGCTGTTCTTTTGCAAAAAGAGCGATTGTAATGTATCTTAAAATTGCATCTCCCCATCGATATTTAGGTAATTCATATGTTTGATCAATTGTTTTCGTCCAATGACGAATACATTCTTATCGAAAAAAATCAACTTTCAATACTTCAAAGTCATTGAAATAGTTAAGTATAAGATCGTTTCCGAATGCATTTGCCAATATTTTCGGCTGTTTTGGTGTGATATTATATTCTTTTTGATATTCAATTGTTACTTGTTTTAATTGCATCGTACTCAATAGAGATTTTTCTTCATCTAAATCAGTATTATTTTTGAATCATCATCAAATCTCATAATGTATTCATACTGATTTAACTGAGGTAATACAAATAGAATTTTAAACCAGAATCGTATCATTAAAGGATAATTCCATTTACCTCGTGAACTCCACGTTCGTTTTGTATAACAAGAATCAAATTTATCAGAAAACAAATAGAAAATACTTTGAATATTTAGAAATAAGACTGGTCGTCTTAATTGATTAACTAAATGCATGAAATCATTTTCATCATTATTTTCAGTATGAATAATTAGTACACTCCTTGGAAAATTATCTAAGAAAGCGAAATCAAGATGTTTTAATCGAAGAATGAATTCGAGAGAAATTTTTCTGGTTAAAATAAGAATTAGATCTTTATTTGTTGATGTGTAACGTGAAATTCCATAATTGTCTATGTTTAATTCGTTGAAACTAGGTGGTGTTTTTGAAAGTAAATATTCTCAAACATGACAAAAAGGTAATAGATAGTATCGAAAACATGACAAACATCAAAAGGTAAGAGTACCGAGCGCAAAAACAAATATCAAAGTGCATATAGTGAAAAGAGACCAAACCACCATTTGGCTTGGCATACTATATATTTTTTCAATCGAAACCTTGATGGTCAAATCAAAACTATGATGCATAATTATTTTACTGTTGGTCGATATTTATGCGTTCTTTCTTCTCCGTCTCTTTTCGTGTATGTTGTATCTGACATATCTGACATGTGAATGTAGGTATTCAATTAGACACGAAAGAGGACAGAAGTCATACAATGTTTGAATACAAATATGAGCATAGAGAGAGGAGGACATGAAGTGAGAATGAAAAGAGGGAGCGAATATAAATTTTAATAGTTTTATCTCATCCACACCCTCACACCCATACCCATTACGGACATATTGTATATTTAATTCAATTTTGTCTTTCCGACATCCTTGATGAAAATTTTGAATAATATTTTTGTCGAAAGTTCGTAACAGACATCTGCTACGGGGATTCGGAATGACGAGGTGGTACGAAACGTAGTTATCCCTTTAAATACAGCAAACCATACTAAACTATTCAAAATAAACTAATCAACCTATACATCACTATGACATGCATACCACACTTTCAGATGCAATATCAACTGACACTTATTCATCTTTGGAAAATATTCATAAATTAGACTATACCAGTCTATGTTTTATAGGTGAAAACTCGTCTCGATACGATACGACCTGGACCAACAAAGAGTGGCTCGATTTCAGGATCTCTGTGAAATCAATTTTTCTTTGCATACGCCTGAAACTGTTATAGTATTCAGAGTAGTTACATACAATGAGTAGTGCTCGAACATGTAATCTGTGTATTTTACTTGTCTGTGGTTGCTTTGGCTTTATTATTTCGTTTGTTGGAATATGGCATTATTCATATGGAATGTGGAAAACAACAAATGGTTCGCACATCATCATAAAACATGACTTTAATGGTACAGTGTCTCCATTTCCATTGTTTTCTTCTACTCCACCAACGTCTAATCTTCCAAATCGTTGGACAGATTCAGATTATCAGTTATGGAAACAAGAGAAGTATTTCCCTCCTAATAAACCACGAGGTAGTATAGTTTATATGGTAATGACAGGAGATCGAAACTTACGTTCTCGTGGTGATGTAATGATGTGTACTTTCGGAATGACACTACATCCATCTCGTCTGTTTTTTGTGGGTGAAGCATCTAGTGATCGTCGTTTGCCAGTTTATGATGTGGTTCCTCGTTTAACACGACGACCTGTTGATTATACTGGCAGTATGCAAAAGCTAGCACAAGGATTAGCATTAGTTACAAACAAGATCAACAACGGTAGCTACAAAAATGAAATAAACTGGATCATGGTGATGGATGATGATACTTTTGTGACACCACAGAACTTAGAACCGTTAGCTTCTGAACACGACCATCGACGTTCTCTTATGATTGGTACAGCTACTTGCGGAGTAGGGTTTTGCGGCGGTGCAGGATATCTTATTTCTAGAGCGCTATTTGACCAATTTCCAAAGTTCATCAAAAAATGTCGTCCAATACCTGGATACCCTCAAAGCGATCAGTTTGTACCAGCATGTATTAAGAGGAAAACACAAGTTGAATTTATCACTAGACCAGAGTTTCATTCACAACCACCTGCCGTTTACTCGTCAGAAGAGAAGCCTCAAGATCATCCAGATAGTTTAGCACGAGCAGTCACCTTTCATTTTGTCAAACCAGCTGAAAACTATATTTCTCTATGGGAACTACAGCAAACACATATTAACGGAAGGGTTAATAAAATTAATCTCCATACGTGAATTACAAATCTGGAGCTCACTTTTTCGCTTGCTATGTTTTGTTTATCTTTTTTTCAGCCTAAATAAATTATATTTGTTGCCCACAATGATCATAAAAACTTAATAATATTCTTTTCGTTCTACTTTTTTAGTTATATAAACAACTTTTTGTGCTCTTTCGAACTATCTAACTCATTTCAGAGAATACAGATGTTCGTCAATAGGTCCTCACTGATTTCTGCTGTGATTCTTCGATCTTCTCTTAAGCTCCATAGTTATTTGCGAGAGATATCTATGAATAGTGCCCTCATAAACGGTGCAGAATTAAGAGTGTGGGTGTGAAGTTGGCCTTTTGTGACGACATCCACATCCACGCTAAAGATGGTGAGAACCTTTGTTAAGTACCATTATTGATCTTAACAAAAAACTTTCATCGTTTTACATAGAGACAATACACTTAACAAATAATTTTTCTAGGCATGGCTTGATATATATAAAACTTGAACATGCCTATATCGTTCATAAAATAATCAACTCGTTTCCTCGAACCGTGATGCAAACATCCAATTGTTTTTGGTAACATGAATTTTTGGGAAACTCTGTGTATGTAATTATTTAGAATTGTAAATGTAAAATACAAGGTGCTAATAAATATCTTTATCTTTTTTCTGATAATCTACTGAATATGACATAATCACTTGTGACGAGGAGATTTCTTTACTCTTAATTTATCACGACAAAGTTATTTCCTCTTTCAAGTCATTTTTTCTCTTTTTCTTTCTACAACAAAATTAATTCATCCTAGATGAAAAATATTATTAATAAATAAACATATCAAACTGTGCCATATAGAAATTAAAACTAATATCATTTATTCATCAGTAATATGAAATCTAAACGTCGAATTCAGTCGATGAAGACGTTTTCAGATATTACGGCAGTTATCTATTTAGTTCAGATACCTTCAAAAGACTGCTTGTTTGTCATTCCGTGGTACGTTCACTGAGAGTATCCAACAACGGTGATCGTATGGAACAGTTTGATATGTTTATTTATTAATAATATTTCTCATCTAGCATAAATTAACTTTGTTGTAGAAAGAAAAAGAAAAAAAATGACTTGAAAGAGGAAGTAACTTTGTTATGATAAATTAAGAGTAAAGAAATCTCCTCGTCACAAGTGATTATGTCATATTCAGTAGATTATCAGAAAAGAGATAAAAATATTTGTTAGCATCTTGTGTTTTACATTTACAATTCTTAAACATAGAATATGCGTTTTTCATAAGAATCTATTCATGATTATTTTTAGTCTTAAGATGAGTTATAAGTTATTACTGTCTGCTCATTGAATTCTAAATACAATAATAAACTTAATTATTTTTCTTTCACAGAAAGTAGTGAAAAAGTAACTGATGGTATATGCGAGAAGTATTTACATTTATATGTCATATCTTTCGGCTTTTGATGAATTAAACCGATTTTCAGTTAATGTCAATGAATGACGCAGTCTCTAGCATAGAATGCTCATATTATTATAGAAGTTCTTTTTTTTCACGAGTAAAAATAGAATTGATATTTTGAGAAGAACTTTTACATTTGATAGTGCAACAAGACATTCAACGTGTCTTTAGAATTATTTATTTCGCTAAGTAAGTGTTTATGTTTTGATTGACAATTTTCAGATTTATAAAACACATATATTATCCACACATCATGGCAGAACTAGGAATAACACTTTAACTTTATAAAACGCAAAGTTAGAGTAGTTATAGTATCGAATAAATGAAAATTTTTGAGCTTCATTTTGTCATCAGGGATGGAAAATTTAGAAAAATAACGATATTTTATAAACTGAACAAAGGTTATTATAGTCAACGAATCTTAATCTCTAATTAATATTTTGAAGTTAATGGACTTGATATTTTCAGTAAAGAAAGGCTTTTTCTATAAACGTTAATCAAAGATTTTTGAGCTCACAGATAAGGTTGACAATTTATTTTATGAATAAATTAACTTATCGGTAGTTTAAATCTTCACATAGAAAAACCAGTTTGTTTTTGGATAAATTATAAAAGATCGAGTTTTTTTTACGTTGGATACGAAAATCTCGACAGATTAATGTACTAAATCCTGGAAGTTCTTATAGCCGTATGCACTTCGATATGATAAAAATATTAACTTTGAAAATCGGTTCACAAGAATCGAAGCTGTAGTTAAAGACGCGTCAAATCTGAATCATATGATTGCCTAGATAAAGTTTAACTTAATAAATGACAAGTAAATAAGTTAAACGTAAAATAAAATGAAATTATCATAATGAAAGATTTTCGAATCAAAGTAATTTTTTTCTTTGACTTTCCTACCTCTGAATATATACGAGACAATCTGTTATTATCTTTACCATAAAAATTCAGATCGGTTTCTTGGCAGAGAATCACTTTCACATAGATTCTTTTCCTATTTTTATTGGTCGGTTATAATGTCCTACATGATTTTCTTCATCATAGTATCGATATCATATTCTGCATCGTTTAAATGCTCTCCAACAGAGTAAAATTCTGTTTATTCAGGTTTGGTGTTTTACTATGTTTTCTTGTGGGTGTGAGTTTATAAGTCATTCTTCTCTCATACTACACAGACATACTCACACCCACATCCACACCGTCTATCAGCCTAGATAGAGAGAAAGTTTCTTAAAACTTTCTATGATGAATTTTAGACTCTCTCTTACTACTTTCAGATTGCTCTAAATATTAAATATGCTTTTTAGATTTCTCCGCCGTGAGCTTAGTGTAAAAAATGGTCATGTCACTTCTAGACATTAGTCAGCTATGTACGATCTACTTTGGATTCTTTCTCATTACCACGGGCGTAATAGGCAATGTAATCAACATCATCGTTTTCGCAAGTGTGCGTAACTACCGCACGACTCCTTCTACATTCTATTACCTTATTGGTTCAATCCAAGACACTCTCATAATGTTCATTAATCTAGGTACGTATATTGTATTTCAGGGATTTGGAATTAACTTAGGTGTTACTGCAATGGGTTGGTGTAAAGTAAGAAAATTTTTCAATGTTACACTAAGTCTCATTTCTTTGTGTTACTCGTGTTTGGCCACTATCGATCAATTTTTC